TATCACAGATATATATACATCACAGCAAATAAAAATTCTTTGTTTGAAATTAGCTGGAGGCTGTCAAATACCTGATTACCTGCTCTATTCTATAGCCGAAATAACACGCTTCCTGTGATATTATTTAATGATATATATTATAACCAAAAAAATAACTCGGTAAATAATTACCCATTCTCCGCTACTAAATAAAATTATTTGTAATCCACGATGTGCATTTTCGAATATTCTAGTATTGACGAGAATGAAATACATACACAAGTTTTTGAAGCAAAGAAGCATGATTAGTTAACATTATCATAGAGTCAGAATGGTCTCGCTTTTTCAGGTAGTTGATTCTTTCTCTGATAATTGACAATAATGTAATTTTGTGCTGGTGAGGTATTATTATCAGGATTGTGGCGTAAGGCTTTTCTGGCGATTGTCATAGCATGAGCTAAATTCTTTGCCCTTTGTACCACTACAGCATATACAGCCTCTATTTTATGTAAATGGCGAGGAATTAAATCATAATCTTTTAAGAATCTATTGAACCATTTTGCTCCTAGCTTATCTGGGTTGCCCATTCGACCAGAAGAAATAGTATTCTGAATCTAGGTAAGCAATTTCTTAGCTCGTTCTTGATTCTTCTCCATAGATCTTAATTTTCGAGAAGTATCTATCTGACTTCAGTTCTTTGCATAGCCTATCACTCCAGCATCTGTAATGCGTAAAAATGTAAGTTCAGCAGGGCAGATACAAAGCATTATCATAACATCTGCGAGAGCTTGTAAGTCGGGTAAAGTAGATGTATCATAACTATCCAATCTTTCTTTGACTAATTCTAATGTAAAGCAGTCTGGATAATCAATTCTTTTAAACTCCTCAACAAATATTCGTCGATTCTTCTGAATTTCGTTAGCATCTTTGTAATATCGAGGAATTTTGTAGCTTCGATTATCTGGAATAAAGCACCAAGATTTCTTAATTCTCTTCTGAGTCGTGATAACCGAGAAGAACCAGCATTAATATTTAATGCCGATAAGGCTAAGGCATAAGCTTCAGCTCTTATATCCCTAATACTAAGCTTATTCTGTAAAAATTGATATGCCATCTCTCTGATAGTTTTTTCCTTTAATCCTTGCAGGATTGAAATAGGATCTTGATATCTATCGGAAGTTGCAAGATTTATAGTTTTAGTTTTACCACTTCTCTGGTTGGGTATCAATATACTCACCTGTTCACTACTAAATTTAAAGCTATCCCAAAGACGTCTTCGTGCCTGGTTCCTTTTTCTATCATTTGTAAGATTTTTGAGTATATTGTCCAAGCTCAGATATATCCATCTTTAGGGTGAGTTTATATTTTTCAACAATTTTTGTTGCAATAGCTGACATGATTGAATGTTTTAATAGGTTGAGTAGTTTATGAATAATTCTTTAGGTTATATATACACTATAAAAAATATTTTTTAAAATCAAAATTAATTACGCTTTTTTCTCCTATACCTAGAAAAAAAGAGTTTATGTATACCTATAGGGTAAGTAGTATGTTGATTTGAAATTTACTAACATATAGGATATACCGAAAAAATTTTATAGCTTTGGGAGTAGGATCCTAGACTATATTAATTGTATATTGTGTTTTATTTTTTAGTATATTGCTCGAGCTAGAATTATTATATGCTCTGGCTCTAGAACATCTATCTTGGTGAATATATCATATAAGGCATTCGGTTTATGCTTTGATGGAGTTAAATTTGGATGATGAAGGAATCTTGCAAGTATATTATTTCTCCATTCCTGAGTTTCTCTATGATTCCAGCAAAATTTTAACAAATTACATATAACAGATTCATTCCAGTTTGCTTTAAGCATAATTTCTAGTAAGCTTATTCTCTCATCGATTTTTGTAAGAAGACTTTTTTCTGCAACAATATCCTAAATTTTATTAGATGCAAAAGATAGATATTTTCTTAGTATTGGTATTTCATTGAATGGCGAAATCAAAAATCTTTCTTCTTTCCAATGTATATATTCATCGTGTAACAATTAATTATATGCGGGTCTATTGATTGCAATCATATGATTAGTTCTTGAGTTATACAGTACACGATACTTAAAGACTATACAAACTTTAAAAGCCAATAACTTTTGATCTAAAAAGATATTTTAAAAAGGAAGCCGCTATTTTGTAGCTAAATCAATTTATTACAACTTAGCAGCCTTATTTTTTAAAAAGTTATAATAACTTTTCAAAATATATAGCTTTAAAAATATAGTATTTTTATATGATACGTAAA